TAGTTAACTATCCGGCATGTTGCAATACTGTTCTTACAGTTCATATACCACAATCTATAGGCTTTGTCTGCTTTAGCTATTAATATTTAAGCTGGTAGCTTTGTCCACTCTAGCCATTATTAATGTTTAAGCTGTGTTAGCTCTAAGTTTTGACTAGCCTTTTCTACAATGTTGCATCCCTTTTACATGTCCTGTCCCCACAGAGCATTTTTTCCGGCTGGTGGGGTGGGGGGATTCCTGTTACGAACAGGTGACATATGTTTGTTAGCATTTTGCTGTCCTCTGGATTTTGTCTCAACTGCCCTACGTAGTCTTCCAGGCCCACGCAGTTCTTTGTGTTGCTTCAGGGGTTGTCACGCTTTAAAGCAAGTGTCAGATACGAGTGTCCTTGATGCACACACTGTTGACACTTCAGACTTGCATACTTCTCAGTCTGGGACAAAAATACTGCCACTCAGTGCAAGTAGAGGGTTGCTTGCTAGTCTGTGCTAATCCAGATTACACCAGTGACTTCAGGTTTAAAGGTTTCCAACCTCTTCCTGTTGTGGACCTCTAAAATGACATCCTGACTCTTCTGCAGTGAACTTCATTTTATTGAGGAGACTGCACTGGCTGCTACTTACAGACGAGGAATTTGTCCTGCCTTTTGTCCTGGAGCCTGCTGACCACAGTGTGAAAAGCATAGGTCTAGAAGTAACTTCTTCACAGGAATCTGGCTTTGGCTGTGAGGTGGTTACCATTGTGGTGTTGGCCCTGTGACTGCATTATTGAGCAGGACACCACTGATACTGCAGTAGACCTGCTCTTGTACTGATGGGTCTTGAGGCTCAGCAACAGAAAATGCTGCCTTGTGAAGGTATGCTGCGGTTTAGTCGTTCAAGGAAATATTTTTGAAGTATTGCTTTCAGGTCATGTTGAGACTCTTTAAAGGTGGTGTAGGGTTTCATGTACTTTCATCAATTTTAGCCACACTGAAAGATCTGAACTTAGAAGTGTGCTGAGCAGCACAGCTCAGTGCAATGCTGGTTTAAAATGTGGCTAGCTGCGGAGGTGCAGGTACAACCCAGAGTGCTCTGTCTAGCGCAGTATCCTGTGTACTGGAAGGGAGACTTAAAAAGACTAACTTTCCAGGTCAGGCAAGAGTAAAATACACTAGAGAAAATAAACTATCCATTAGTTCTGTGCGGAAGACGAGTTATAATTCGTTGCGAAACTGATTTTGAGCTATTAAAAAACAATATGAGAAGTGAAGAGTTAAGCTGTTAAGATGCCAAAGTGCGTCTATAAAAGTATGTATTATTAAAGCAGATGTTCAGGGAAGCTGGACGATTTTTGGCATTTAAGTATTTGCCCAGCATTCACAGGCATCTTGCCTTGATTGAAAAAGAAAAAAATGTTGCAACTTCATTCCATACATTTTTCCCTCATTAGGACCCATTTATCCCAGCAGAGCATTACGCTGGGCTGGCTGTGCTTTGGCACCCGGGCTGTGCTGTGGGATGACAGCTTTGGAGGTTCTTATCTGCGTTTCAGTAGGGGGAATGGAGAACTTCTGCTAGATGTGGCTGAAGCGAGCCTGTTGTGTCTGCTGGCTGGGTGCGTGGTTTGTTTCTTTTGAATCCTCCAGAGTGGATCTGTCAAATTAAACTCGGATCCACGGGGAAGTTTGGGATTTAACAGTTGATTTGAGTGCAGCTCATTTTGGCCAAATTCCCTCTGCCATCTTAACTGGAATAGGAGAACTCTAGGAAGTCCTCCTGTTAAAAAATGGGACAACTATTAAAACTGATCTTCACCATTAAAAAGATTAGAGTGCTTTTAAATCCTGTAATGACCCTGCACTTTGAAAAGCACTTTTAAGCTTTTACAAGATTTGTTTGTTTTTTACTCCAAGTCTTCTGCATATGTCCAGCCAATGGTGGGCTTATGGTATACTTAGAAATCATCCTAGGGTCTGGAATGTGTGTCTGTTCCCTCCCCCCTTTTTTTTTTGTTAATCAAATTCTACATATTATTTGGACTTGTAAGTCTACAAATACTAGCAATAGCCGTTTCTAAAACAAAACTTCCCAAAACTTTGCCTTCCCACTCTGCTCAATTTTAAGGATTGTTGAAATAAGCTCCCTAAAATTTCACATTACACCTTTGAACAGAGTATACATTGAAATATTTTCAGTCTTTCACAATGTAGTTGTTCTTTTGCAAAGCTGTTTACAGTGTTCCTTCTACAAAGGAAGCATTTCAGTAATTACATTGCTGATTTGAACTTTTAAAAACTTTGTTCTGTGGGTATATTTTCCTTCTAATCTCAGTGGAAGAAAAAGGCATTTCTGCCTAGATCTGCTGTCTAAAACTCACCTTGCTTTAGTTTTCACCTTTTCAAAATCCTAAGCAAATGTCAAAAATTGATGGTATTTGCTTTCTGCAAACACAGGGTACAGTAACATGTTTAGTTCATCAAAACTCAGTCTTTCATAGCCAAGAGCTCACCACCAAGATGAGGAATGATGAAATTTGTACCTTAAAAATACTGAGATACAAAGTTTTATTTTCTGCGTGCACCATTTTCACAGAATAAACACCTGCTCCTCCTCAGTGCAGCCGTGCATTCGGAGAGTGGGTGCGCAGCAGTTGTTGGCATGCTTGGCTGGGTGCTAGGGGAGGCAGGAACAAGGAAATGACTGACGGAAATGAATAGCCAGTATTTGTGCAAAACACACCAGAGGGGTTTCCGGCACCCCTCGTTTCCCAGGATAGCAGCAGGAGACAAGGCAACTTTATACAGTGCAATATGCCTGAAAATGGTCTGCTAAAATTTGTTCTGTCTCCCTGAGTGGGCTCTCTTGTCAGTTAAGAGAAATGGAGTGCAATTTTCTCTTTGTGAGTACCCCCAAATACGCAGATTGTGTCCACATTCTGATGAGGGCTGGCAGGCTGCCAGGACCCCACAAGCTTGAAGCTGAGTTGAATTACTTTGTACTTTCGTATCTGCTAGTCTTTTTCTCTGAAGAGATGAACTTGCTCATCTTGGACTGAAGACAGGAGTCAAAAAGTCTCTCAGTTGTCTTGTGCAGCCAGACTTTACAGGTAGTATGGGCTCAGGTGGCCCAAAGCATCTGTCCAGAAGAAGACGACCATCCCCTTTGGAACCCCAGATAGTTTTTTGTTTGTTCCCCCTGCCCACATACACTGAATTCAAAAGGGCTGAAACTGTTTTTTTCCCCAATTGGTACCTTGGACAGGGCTGTAAAACCTGCTACTATGAGCGACAGATGATGAAGTCACCCTTTTCCTGGGGTAAGAGTGCAAAACATTCTTCAACACATTTGTCTAGGGTTAGCAAAAGCAAAGGCAAACATGAAAGCCCAGAAGAAAAGCAGGCCTGTGGGGTCTGCTGCATCAGTCAGTGCTATGCCTGCTACAAATTGTCCTCTCAAGCCCCTCTGCAGGGCCCTGCTTGTCTGAAAACGTAAAAATATGACTTTATTCTTACACTTGATTTCAGTAATGTTTATTACCAACCTCAACTATCCATTCATCATTTACTGACAATTTACTATTTTGTGAGTTCATGACTACAACCTATTTAATACGTGGTTTTAAGTGCTCTGAAAGACTTACAAGGGAAACTGAAAATTAATTCAAATCCAGTGTTAAGTGAAACAGTTAACCCTGCTCATGTATCCACACGGATTTTTCAGTCTGGCACAGCAGAACTCCCTCTAGGGCCAGGGAAGCTGCTGAGCCACTTCCAAATAGCACTTTTCCAAATGGCCCATTACAATTTACTGAGTAACCAGTACACAGTTCATCCTATGCTAATAGCACTGAGGTATCATAAACATTACTAAAGTTGCAAGTTATTACAGCAATTGTAATTTCACTGCTGAACAGTTTACTAGATTAAGGGTTGGAGTCTGCCAGTGCTTTACAGTATTTTTAATTCTAAGAACAGAATAGGCACATCATTAAATAATTAACTGACTTAGTTTTGGAATATCCAAGTTTGTTCCCTGCTTTTAACACATAAAATACCAGTTGCAGTACTTAGCAACTCTTTAAAATAAAAAGCCATATAAAATTCTCATATTGAGAATGGCCAAAGCAGTAAATGGATTAGTAACTTGCATACCAATGAATAAATAAAGCTGTTGGAGTTGGCGAGGCAATACCACAGATTATATGAATGATAGTGAAGTGCATCCCCTCTGGCACTCAAGCATGCAGGAAGATGGGCAACATAGTCAATAGTTACTCTAAAGTTTTAAAAGGGCAGCAATTTACAGCATTGTGCAGTGCAAGTCCTAAACTACACCACTGTTAAGCTCTAACGAGCATGGTTATGCATGGTATACGTGTTTGGTAGCTGAATGAATCCAAAACATCCTGTTAAAGTCAGCTTCAGAGAGGCGAGTTATTTCAGTTAAAAACCAATGCCAGAACAAAACGTTTCACTGACCCTACCCATATCACCACAGTAGGCTTTATCAGACAGGAGTTAAGAGTTTTATTTTCCTAAACCCCGGTGAAAGCCACCAGATGTAGAAGGCTCCTCTCTATGTTCAGCAGTAGCAAAGTAGCAGACCTCAGCTAATCCAAACAAGACCAAATATATGGAGAGATGGTGACAAGGCACACTTTACAACACACCCTGAGGTGTGTTTAGATTTTGGCAGGGAAATGAGGGTTTTGATCAAAGCAGCATTAAGGCCTGAAAGGTCAGTAGTTCAGGAGAACAGTCCACCAGAGTATCTTTAAAGTGTGATTGCAGCTGGATTTACTGTAAGAGATGACCCTGCAGCAAAACTGAGTGGGACAAAATTACACCTTTGACTTCACAACTAAATAGGATAAATATCTTCTAATAATGTGGCTTTAGGTACCTCATATCCAGTAACATGTCACTTTCCTAAAGACCATATATAGTCTTATAGTACCAAGCCAGTAACAAAATGAAGGTAAACGGCATTCAGTTCAAAAAGGAAAAAAAAAAAAAAAAGAAAAAAAAGAATAAAAAGTGCATTTGATTCAACAAACATCACTATTGAAAAATTTCATTTTTAGGTTGTGTGTAGCAAAAATGTGCTTCTTCCTTGGGATTGTTATATATTGCATGTTTCCATTTGACGATGTGGTTTTCAAAAAGAGGTTGCGGGTGAAAAGATGACCATGTCTGGAATCAGGTGATACAGAAAGCTGAGTAAAAAAAAACCAACCAAACAAAAAACTAAGTTAATTTTTGCCATCCTACAGCAAGTTAATCACTTTGCATATTTCAATCTAATTTTTATACAGTTTTCATAAAAATAAAATTAGCATAAGAAAAAAAAAAGGACTTAACTAGGAAGATAAATGGAAAACATCCCATTATATGACTTAACTTACTTAAAATTAGAAATGGCAACATCCGTTTCCTAATGAGCTTTACTTTGAGACACCAAGCTGCAGGGCTTGTCCTTTCCCTTCAGAGGCTACTCCAGAAAAATATTGTCCATTTACCTTAACTTTGTATCATGATTCTTTTTACTTCTCCTTCTTCATCTACCTTGAACCACTTCTCCTTTGCCTAAACCCTGTCTCTGTATTTTATACATTTCCAAGTATGTGTAAGCTACTGTGATCCCACCCTCATGTACTCATTGAAGCAAGCAGAACTGAATTATGGAGGAATAAGCTGGACAGTCTCTTCTGGTTTTATTTCTGAATTCTCCAGCCTAACATCTCTTATGCACAAGGTTCCCAGAATGGTTATACATCTTCATTGTCCAATGCAGTAAACAGAATAAAACAGAGCAATGAAAGTGTGCCTTAAACCTGCTGTGCTGCACCTCCACAGCAACAACAGTTGCTCAAGTTTATTCTCCACTGAGGAAACAACCTTGGGTTAAGAATATTCATCCAAAATTGTTAAAAACAGAACGTGACTGATTTTTTTTAAAGCAACGGGGAATGATAGAATTTTCCTTCCAACTTGCATTGCTTTAGAAAGAAAGAAACAGAGCTTATTAAGGCCTGTTTAACCAAAGATGTAAACGCACTAACTACAAAGTATTTCAATTTCATTTCTCTACATGTTTTATAACACAGCTTAAAAACTGATGTTCTCAAATCCTTGTAATTATAACATCAATTCTGCCTTCCTCCTTAAGTAGCTTCTGTTTTCTCCTCAAGTGAACAAACCAAATCTGAATCATTCTGAATATCTGAAATGCAAGTCTGAACGCAAATTCTTCTCTATGAGCTTTGCTTCTAACATCTCCCTTACCATATATTTTAGGAGTGAGTTACAGTCATTAGTGATCAACATGTTGATCCTTCTATAGACACGCTTATCTTCCTTTATCATCAAAGCATCCTGACTACATTTTATATATCACCACTCTCTCTCAACCAATAAGTAATTTGGCCTAAAGTCCAGCTTACATAATGAATAACCGGTTTCAGTATCTCCCATATTATGTTGCTTTGCATTTTGTACATTATATTGTACCTTTTCTAAAGCTGTCAGGTTTCAAGAGCAAAAAACAACTCCACACCTAAACAATTTTATCAGAACTAAACAATTACATTAGGACATATACTAGAACAGCTGGCTACAGCACAGAGGAACATGTAAATACACTCTGTGGTTCTCTGAAGTGCTTGCTTTCAGAGAAATTCTTACCTTGGTCTGGATCAGTGCTCTGCAGTTATTAATACTGAATCCATCAAATCCGAAGTCGTCGCTGTCTTTAGCATCTGATTCCTCAAAAATGCCATCCAGGGTCTCTGAAAAGTCCTAATAAAACATAATTTACATTTTCTTTACAAATTTCTGTGTGATCTTAAAGCATATAACCTAAAGAGAAGTTTCCCTCAAATAAGAATAACCACTACATTTTACTTTCTTGAAGCTGTATTTTGATTTATCATGTGCCCCCCCTGCATTAAAACAATTTTATGCCCAAACAAGTTCTACACACATGAATCCAGTTGTGACTTAAATTGATAAAAAAGCCATTTCCAATTAAAATTAGCCTTAACCTACACCAGAAAATAGCTGAGAAATACATCTTCATCAGTATTGTTAAAAGCAATACAATTTTCCAGTAACAGAAGTAATGACAGAAGTTTAAGCTGCCTGGGCACTGATTTAATGCTGATGTATCTATGGGCAAAAGGAACAGAAGGGGAGTTTGACTATGTTGGAGACATGTCTCCTATTCTCTCCTGTTAAGTGACAGTTCTATAAAAGTGACTTTCAAGTGCAGAATAGGTCCTATACCTTCAGCACTGTTGTTCTGTTTGTACATAACTTGCATGAAAGGTCAAATATGTCCATAAAATCAAAATTGAATGCAGTACCCCCCCCCATGCTTCAGCAATCAAATTATCAATTGGAACAGTTAATTCTGAAAACCACATGTGACTAAATCATCCCAACTAAATAACCAGGTTGAACACTAAACTCTCTGTGATACCTTTATCTTCTCAAAACAAGAGATTAAACAGAGATATTTCTTTTTGAGATCTTTCAATGCTGTTGGTTTGGTCTCAATTTAAATTAAAACGTACTCTTCCTCAAGCCTTGCAAAACCAGATAGAATAATCTGAGGAAAAGGGAAGTGGAACACACTTTCAGTTTGTACACAGTAAAAACATCCAGTAATTACTTTAACAGCCTCTCTGATTCAAATCTGATTTTCACTTAATGGAAAGATATTAGAGGCTAACAATTTTCTCATACTCTGAGCAAAAGAGAAAACCATCTTACTGCACACATATCTGAAAGCTAATTCTACACCTATACTAAAGCTGAATGTACCACCTAACAACAGGGCGCTACATAGTGGAGAATTCAATGTAAAGATGATCAAAATTTGATCCTGCACAATTTCATAGTTACTTACCCATAATGATGAGAAAACAGTAGACTATCATTTTAAAAGGCTCTCTGTAAAAAAAAATATGTATGACTCACCCAGATCTAGTTCCTCATGCATCTGCATGTGTAACTTACAGGAAATCAGATTAATAACTAAGTGTTTATGCTGGCATACTAGGAAACCGTTGTTCAATTACCTTTTGATTTGCATCTATTCCAAGAACACTCAAGAGGTTTTCTTGGCAATGAGATTTACTCCAGGGATGTCTTAAGCTGGGGGTATTATCAAAGTCTCTGAGTGTTCTCCATATATTTCCAGAATCGATGCTAGGAAAGAAAACACCATTTGAGGTTGTAAGGTGTACAAAGTTTCCAGTGAACATACATAACCAACTTATTTTCACTACATAGAGTCATGTACTAGCCTACCTTGATCTAAAAAGCAACTTATCTTAAAGCTCTTTTTTACCTTCCTTCAAACTATCAACCCAATGTACTAATAAGATTGCATGACAATTAACAGAAACAGTAAGTCAACATAACTATGTTTGGGCTTCTCAGATAAGAAGCGCATTAGAAGCATATTTCAGAGATGGGTTTATGCCAACAACTTGTATTATTCAATTGCTTCTGTGAAGTGTGGGTAGAGTTCAGCCCTATTAATTCTGCATTTTCTGTCCCTCAAACCCTTCTCCTTCCTATCAGTCATGCTCCTCCACTGCAGCAGCCTGCTGCTCAGCTGGGTGACCTGCATCTGCTCTGGACATGTACATACTACAAAACAAGCCAAAGGCACACACTACTGAAACAGTGAGAATTAAAAGAGTTCCCTCTACATAATACTTTCGGTTCTTATATTGCATTCATCCTATATAAATCCAGTTGCTTTTCACTTAGTACAGGATGCAATTATCATTGATCTTTGTTACTCACCACAGTAGATCAGGGCTTTCTTGTCTGTAGTTGGTACTCTGCTATAATATTGCAGTCCCTTTGACATATATATCATATTTCTCCAGAAGTTTCAGGCTGATTAAAATATAATGCATATACAAGGAACTGGCCAAAAGGATGCCCACATTTTAACTTACATTTCTTGTGATTCTTACGACATTTCCAAAGTATGGTCTGACCCAGCTTTCTAGATTCAAAGCCTCAGATGTATGCAAAAATAACTACAATACTGTTCAGTAACGATACTGCTCAGAAGCTGCTGATCCTTCAAAAACATGTAACAAATCTAAAAGTGTTCCAGCTGTCTTAAGAGAAAGCTAAGTTAATGATACTAATTGCTATTAACATAACCCCAGGAAAGAAGCCAGATGCACCGCAGATTCTGAAGCACATCTGGTTAAACATAAGAAGTTACCACCTGGGAAAACTGGGGAGGGAGGAAAAAAAAAAAAAAAAGTGAGTGGCTTGTCAGTAGAAGCAGCAGCAGTGCTTCTGCCTCAGATGATGGAGAAATAAGTCGGATGTGTTGTAAAGAAAGGACAAGCGAACAGGAAGAACAGGCTGCCTGTTGGGTGTTCTGGAATTCCAGGGGCTTAGTCATAAGGAGGTACAGCAACAGCAGGAAAACCCTAAGCAGGAATTTGTAATTTTGATATATTCCCTTCCTTGTTTTCCAATGGCTAAAACACAATCCATTTCCTTTAACAACACAATACAAAATTGGTAAGATCTACATGCTGAAGAGCATAGTGATTAAAAAGCTTTTAAGTTCACCTGCAAGTACCACTGATTTTTAAATTATGAAATAAACAGTGTAATTGCTGAGGAGCTTCATAATTATTATTTTTTTTTTAACTGTTGATCTAAACTCATTACCAAAGTTGATTCTTCATAAGTTCAGGAATCCCAACATCTTCATTATTTGTATCAAGTACTTGATCTAAGCTTCTTATGCTCTCTCTGGACTGTGATACAAAGACTTCTGGAAAACCCAACTTAAATATATCCTCATAGCTGTGGTTTGCCTAGAAAAAAAAGAGAGTTTTATTACATACGTTGTACAGGCCATCCCCCCACACTTCATGAATGACCTAGTCCAAAGACTACAATGTTTCTAACAATTGTATTATTGATTGTTTTTAAAATTATTATTATTATTAATGGCATAGAGGGACTGAGCCCATATTTCACTGTTTTGAGTACTTACCTAGAATTAGAGGAGAAGTAAGAGACCCAGAGTTTCTGATGAACCTTAGTCTCAAGCTTCCCAGCTACTAAGTTATAGACTGGTTTGCCCATTAGCACTCAAGACTCCTCCTTCTGCTCAGCTAATTCAGTCCAGGTCAAAATTGATGTATACATCAGTTCAAAAGCTTGTGTTGCTAACTTAGTATTCAAACACACCTAATTCAGCCAAATTGTAGCATTTAGTAGTTATGTTACGTCACCAATAAATACTTGCACTGTGTAAGTCTGCATAAAAGCTCGGGTGAGTATGTCTGTATATCCTTGCATTTACACCAAACTTTTTTCCAGCCTATCTGATTAAAAATCAGAGCCAGATTTATATACTTGTTCCTCCTCCAGCACTGATGAGTGGAGGACTGAACATAGCCACATGACTGATCCAAACAGGCCTACTGGAAGTAACAGGGTTATCTGAAGACTAAGAAATAAATATACAAGGAAAAATGTGCATAATTTACATCCTATCCTAAAGGGATGTTATCATGCCATCTGGTCCAGAAGCTTTGTCCTTTTATTCCTTCAAAGAAGGAATCACTGCAATTTTCTAAATCAAAGCAATTAATTGACTTCAACACCCTGCAGAGGGACTGCAGTCCGGGAGCAGCAATGTTGTGTGAAAACTAGAGAATGAAACCAGTCAGTTTGTTTTCTTTGCCTAGCAATCAACCATTTAATCTGAAAAACTGTCTGTATTTTGACAGTTTCATTTAATTGTAATTCAAACAGCTGAAATAAATTGAGATATTTCCAGTTTCATTGTACTGAACTCAGACAAGTGCAGTGAATACTGAGAGTATGGATTTAATCTAATGATGAGTGGGCAAAATCAACAGAGCTGGTAGAAGGCTTCTGTACTTCTAAGCATGCTTCTAGAAATAGAATTTGTGCCCCACGCTGCTCCCTCCTTAAGTAAGGCCTTGCTAAACTGCCTATCCTGAAGGGTAACTGCTGGGACATTCAAAGACTCCTTAGGTAAAATCCTTTGAATCTTGCCCAAAGTGTCATAACACTTTAAATCAATTTGTAAACTATTTCAGTAGACGTAACTTACAACAGGGATACTATATGGAGGAGAAAGATGTCAGAGAAGCAGAAGTCTGTGAAAGCACACTTGCTAAAGCATACATGGAGAGTTACCATCAAGGAAAAGAAAACTTCCAAGTAAGTACCAAAACCTAAATGGGACAGGAGCTAAAGTCAGGCAGCTGCTCTTGGCCTTGGGGTGGGAGGGAAATTACAGCCACAGAAGTGTGAATCAAGGGAAGCACAGGTTTGCCTCATTTATAGTATCTTCTTAGAGTCTGTGACATTGCTCCAACATTCATACAAGTCACTAGCTTACAGTTTAGCCAAGCCAGATGAAAAATGCAAGAATTTTTTTTTAAAAACATTTATTACTGTCTACTTCAGTGGCTGTTTCTAAAACAAAATTTGCGTACATTTCCATTTACCTTGCAGCTTTGTACTAATTATAAAGATATGAATGCACAAATTTCACATTTGTGCTTTTTGACGAAATCCTCTATATCCTATTATATCAGAATACTCCAGTGCTTAAGCAAGTGCACTAGTCCCTCTCACAAAGGCCTGTGTTTAAAGAACACATGAAAAATCCTCAAAGTTATTCAATCATGTAGGCGAAATACCCAGCTACTGCAAGGAAATTAATTAGTGATTGTTTTAATCTTAAAAAACATGATTCTGCTCCAGACTGACATCGTTTAATTAACTGAAGCATTAGATATTGAAGGTCAGACCTCTGACCTCAGATGATCTCTAGAGGTCCCTTCCAACCTACCTGGACTTTTTTCTACTGACCATGCAGAAGACAGAGCCCCAGCCTGAAGAGTTTATGATCCCAAACAAACAATACAAAAAGCACAGGGATGAAGGACAGCTACCCAAATATTCTACACCCAAAGAAATCTCCAACAGTTCTGCAGCTGTTTCTCTACCCTGAGACAGGAAAAGACAACTTGAAACCCTAGGCATGGTTAACTTATTTAGCTTGTACTGGACATTTCCCGTTGCCTTTAATAAATGCAAAAATAAAGCAAAAGCTTCAGTAAGATTAAGATCTACTGCTTTTGGAAAGAAACCAAACATTCTGCTATATTCTATTTCAGCTCCAGTCATTACATACTCTCTTTTTTCAACCTAAGACTTCTTGTCCCCAATTTCCAGCATTACGAACAATTTAAATTCTCTGTTTATGCATACCAATAACCAGGTATCTTGTGATCTCCACTTTTATCAGTGCTGGACAGCTTATCCCACGTGCATCTTTGTGCTTTTCCTAGTAACACCATGCAGCAGGTGAAGTTCCCAGGCAAGGGCAAGAAAGCCTGTCTCCAGAAAACCCTCAGTTCCCTATGCATACTAAAACCCATCTAACAGACTACAAGCAGTAAGCTGTTACTGCTACTGATTAACCCCATGGAAGTCTTAGTAGATTGCTCTCTTTTATCCTAAATTAAAACTTTTGAAAAAAAGTAGTAAGAATGAGAGTGTTCTGTTTTGCATTTGTACATTCTTATTTTCCTTTTGTTACTTTGCTTCACTTTGGTGATGCATGTTTGGTAAACATGGAAACACATTCATTGCAACAAGGTATAACCCTTAAGCCTTTTTTTTGTGCTAATAAGGACGCATTATATTATTTATTCACATTATCAGTTCCAACACTGTATGAGAGAATGTAACATCCTATGCTAAAAAAAAGGATGATACTAAATTATTTCTATTCACTTTGTCATTAACTTCTACCCACCATCAGTCTAAAATTCCAGAAAGATTGTTGGATTATTCAGGCAGTATATTACATAACAAAAGTTATTGGTTTTGCCAATTTTTAAGTCAATGTTATGTTGGTTTACTTCAGTAAGCTTGCAGGCAACTCAGAATTTTTGTCCACCCTGGTTTTGTTACCCACCTTCCTGATTTTTTGTTTACTATGCTCATTCTTGCCTAGCTTTTAAATTGCATGTGCTTCAGGGCAAGGTTCATCGTTTCTACATGCTTGCTTATTCCTAGTGTCTAGAAGCAAAGTAGCACATCATTCTTTAAAGCTCTCCAGCAGGATAACTTAAGTATTTGCCAAACACTGTAAAGAAGTTGCTTTTGTTCCACTTGAGTTAGCTGCAAAGTAGCTTGATGGTTTCTCTCCCTATACAGCATTATCCTCTATCAAGAGACATTCAGATATAAATCTTGAGATGTAGGAAGCAAAAACACAAACATTTCTGGTCTTTGATTTACTATTAGTACGTACCTCATTTAGAGAGCTCGAAGCGTCCTGTATCCCACAGTGTAGAGATGGCTCAGAACAAAAGCCACCAACAGAAGTGCTACAATGTCTGCTGCTTAAGTCTGTATCAACTCTAGAGGTTTTTGTTGACTTCAGCAAAACTTCAAGATTATGACTGAATCTCTCCGATTTGTCTAAGGACTCCTCGAAGCCTTCAAAATCACCCCAGGAACCGCTGGGTTCTGAGGTACTATAACTGCTCTCAGAAAACCCCTCACAACTTCTCCCTTTGCTAGTCCCTACAGGGAAGCTTTGCTGCATTACTTCAAGATTAATAATTTCTTCATTATTTGTCCTTTCATTCAAGTCACAGTCACCTTCATAGAGAGACATACTACCCACTTCATCTGCTAGGTCTTTTAGAGACATCCGGTATGATTTGTCTGCCTTAGTAAGACTTTCTGCTAGTGACAGGTTCTGCATATTTAAGAAAAATTCATTTGTTGGAATCTGAACTGCAAAAAAGGCTACTGAAGTTCAGTTGCATTAGAAATCTGAACATTTCCAAACCAGATTCAAATTCTTCATTTCACCCCCAAAGAATGATAATACTGCTAAATCAAAACAGGATGTCCTTCAGCGTCTCCTCCAGTAATCAGCATGTGCATGTTATTCAGTCTCACTTTCTGTGTAGGGTATTAGCCTGCAAAGAAAGAATTCTAAATAAATACTTCTGTGATAAGGGCTGTGTAGGGATAAAGAAAGATAGCTGATAAGGTAGGAGAAAGAATGCTCAGACTGGAATAAACACATTCCAGTACTATACAACTAAAAATCGCTGTAGGCAAAATTATTTAAAATTTACACTTTAACTATCTGCCCACACCACAAGCAAGCCATTAACTGAGGCAACAACGTCCAGCAAATACTGAACAGAAGCTGTTGGTTATTAATTGAGTACTGATTGAGTATATGGGAGACAAACCAAAGTAATTATAGACAACATCCAGCACTTATGAAGTATTTTCTATGACTACTTCATCCATCTCGCACACAGTCAAACAGTACTCTTTTTGCTCGCTTGGGCTTTCCCTGTCCGAACCATTACCGGAGAGGTGAACGTGACTTGCAGCAACAGGGGCACCGGCCGTTTAATCCTGTGAAAAATACAGTGTTTCCAACCATTTCAGCGATTAAGACAGACTTAGCAAGTCCAGTTCGGCACCTGTAAATTACGCAGGCAATACTGCGTTCACCATTTTAGATTAATCGCATCTCCTCGAGCGTTTTTCCGACGGACAAGCTGAAAGACCGGCCGCCGGTCGGTGCTTTCTGTGCTTAACAGACAGAACAAACCTCGGGGTTCCCCCCCACCCCCGGCCCCAGTTCAGCCGGAAGGCGGCACAGCACCGGCCGGCCACGGACCCTCGCCCG